CGATGTATTTTTTTTTGTATTGAGATGAGTCTAAGAGCATGGTTAAGAATATAGCTAGTAGCTGGTTATATAAGATTGTCATGTCATTAAGAGTTAGAAATCTCATTCACTCATACAATAGAGTTGATAAATGCTTACGCTTTCGGTCTACGAGGGTACGTAGACATACTCTCCCCCATCGTTGCTATGCATCTCGTAGATAGAACTTGCGTGAGCGTAGGAAATTTTTGAAATTGCATGCTACGTTCTCAAACTATTTCGACAAACTCTTTTCACGAAAAAATATATGAAAAAAACAGGAAACCAGAAAAATAAATAACAAAAAGGGAAAACCGAAAAGAATGTAAAACCAAGAAAAAGACCAAAAACCTAAAAAAATTGGAAACCTGGGAGTACAATTATTCTTCTTTTAAGAAAAGGAAGCACATTTTGTGTTTTTTTCCTTTTCGAAAAGCACAGTTATGCCTTGCAGAAGCATATGTTTTGTTTTTTTCTTTTGAAGAAGTATAGTTATGTTTACTGAAGTACAGTTGTGCTTACCAAAGCCTAGGCTGCGATTTTCCTTTTATGTAAGCATAGTCCTACATCTCGTAAAAATACAGCTGGGGTTTTCCTTTTTCGGAAAGCACAACTATCTTTCTTGCAAAAGCTAATTGTGCTTCTCGAAGAATCACAGCCCTTGCTTTTCCTTTTCCCGGAAGCGTAAGTTATGCTCCACATGAGAAAACATAAATAACAGCTATAAAAAGAAAACATAAATAAATCAATTTTTTCGACAAAAACACTGGAAGAACCGGGCATAATTTGAAAAACCAAAATAATCCTTAAAAACCATAAAAATACGTGTAAAAAAAATGCTCCCACGCTATCCAACATACACATGACAATGGTAGGCGCACCAAGCGAAGCGCTCTTAGCCCATCAACATAAGCGCTGGTGCATCCAATGCTATCCTTAATTAGCCGCCCTTTGCAAAGGTCTCGCTCTAAGCGATGTATTATTTTTTTGTTGAGATGAGTCAAAGAGCATGGTTAAGAATATAGCTAGTAGCTGGCTATATAAGATTGACATGTCATTAAGAGTTAGAAATATCATTCACTCATACAATAGAGTTGGCTCTTAAGAGCAAGTACAATCGTGGGCTTATAGCCCGCCTACATGGCATTTTTGCCTATGTGGAGGATAGAGAATTGAAAAATGATGAGAGTGAACTCTCATGCAAGAACCTAGCTGTATGCGCATTTCTAAATAAGAGTAATAAATAAAATGAAATAAAGGGAGAGAATGTAAAAAAGGTAGTAGTCTAATAGCCAACCTTATTGTATGAGTGACTACACATAATGACTTTAGATGACATGGTAGCTGCATATAGCCAACAGTTAGCTATACTATTAACCATGATCTAATGCTAGTGATATTTTTCACTCTCTTTTTCTCTTTCCTCTCATTTGCTTATTTTATCTAGGAGCACGTGAAGAGGCTGGCTATTGCATTAGAGCCCACTCTCATCTTTTTTGCTTCTCTCTTTTCTTCACATAGGAAAAATGCCATGTAAGCGGGTTTATAGCCCACTATTGTACTTGCTCTAAGCGATGTATCGATGTATCACGACGACTATGTCTCGCATTCAGCGATAGATTATCTCACTGAAGCGTTTATTGTTATCAGGCCGACCCATCCGCGTACAATGAAAAAAAAATAGAGAACGAAAAGGGCACCCATTCACGTACAATGAAAATAAAATAGAGAACGAAAAGGGCAGTTGTAGGGACGAATCCTGGTCTACTAGGAGATTACCCACGCTGTTAGCCACTATGCCCATGTCTAGTTCATGATAACAAGTCGGGGCGAGACGTACTTGAGGCGAATGGAGGCAGGTTTTCCACCGGTTTTTTAGGTTTTTTTCTTTCTGTTTTTTTGTTTGTATTTTTCACGGGGTTTTCTTCGTATTACCTCTAGTTTTACTGGTTTTTCTATTTTCTTTCATTTTCGTTGTTCTTCTTCTGTTTTGTTCATTTCTTACTCGGTTTTTACGGTGTTTTTTCTTTTCTTTTCCTTTTTCTTTGTTTGTTCTTTGGTTTGTTTGTTTCTTTCTCCTTTTTCAACAGTTTCTTTGTTTACTCTCAGGTTTCATTATTTTAAATATACATTTTTTTTGTGTATATCTAATACATTTTGAACACAGGTTTTACATTTTTTTTAAATGCTTGATTGACATTTTTAAATACCAAGTTAAATTTTAATACATTGTCAACACTTTTTAAATACATATTTTTACATTTTTATTTTCAAATGCCTCATTAGCATATTTCAAATACAAGTTTAGCATTTTATGATTACATGGTCAACATTTTCGCTATAAACATTTAACATTTTTCGAATACCAGTTTCACTTTTTTTTAATACATGGTCAACATTTTTTCTACACATATTTCACATTTTTCAAATATAAGTTGAACATTTTTTTAACACATGGTAAACAGTTTTTCAATACAATTTAACAATTTAAAATGCAAGCTTAAGACTTGTTGAATACATGGTCAACATTTTTTATACACATTTAACATTTTAGAATGCAAGTTTAACATTTTTCAGTACATAGTCAACATTTTTGTATACACATTTAATATTTTAAAATGCAGGAGCTCCTGGGCTGGCCCATCTGGAGCTGGGGCGCCCCGTTCCCATGTGCTTCGCCTCTGACTGGGCCTTCAGCCCAGCTTC